ACTTCATGTGACACCCACAGGACAAATACAGATAACAGAGATATAATATCAGAGGGTCAAAGCACTAACAAGAAGTGTTAGAATATAACATATAACCCTTGATTCTCACCACAACTTCAAAGGTATGGTGTACTGGTTAGGACTTTAAAAGATGGTATCAGAGCAACCAAAGTTCAAATCCCATCGTCGAAATTATGGTGTACCGCTTGGGACTTTAAGATGGTACTAGAGCAACCCAAATTCAAATTCCACCAGCCACATATTTAATGCGGATTTAAAAAGAAAACGATACCGCTACCTGAGTCTAGGTTTCAGCCAAAAAGACTTTTGAGTTTATGATGTATTGATTGGCAGCGATGACCCTACTAGTACATGGATTGTGTCTGCAATTAACCCAAACAACAATGAAGTCAAGGATTAAGGAAGAGACCTAAATTTCCTTTCCTTCTCTTACTCATCCAACTGGTGATGACACACAAAAAATACAAGACCAAGTTTTACCCATAAAAAAACAAGAAACATAGAGATATCTCCAACAAGACTATATCTACAGAAACTAGGAAGGGAAACCCCAATTTCTACACAAATCCAAACCAAAAATAAAAATAAAAATAAAAAAATTTAAAAAAGTGGAGTTAGAACAAGAACAAGGAGACAGACCAAGTTGTGGTAGTTGGCGAGCTTGGCCATGGTGGTGCTCTCGCCGCCGGGGATGATGAGTGCATCGACGCCGGAGAGCTGCTCCGGCTTCCTTATCTCCAATCCCTCCACCCCTATTCTCCTCAGAGCTAACACAAAAAAAAATATATTTAGAAAATAAAAAATAAAAACCATTAATAATTTTTTTTAAACCCAAAAGAAAAAAAACTCACCCGCGATGTGCTCGTTGAAAGACCCCTGAAGCGCGAGAACGCCGACCGCCATTGCAGATAGAGAAAGAGAGAACTAAAACCCAAAACTGCCCGCTTTATTTATTTTTGTTTATATTAAAGCTGGAATTTTTGGGATTAATTGTTCGAAAATCCAAAGGCCTTGTGTTTTTCTTGTGGATTTTTTTTTTAATTTGATCAATTTATTGGTAAAAAATACCATTTAAAAAGAGGGTGGAAAAGAAAAATGCATCAACCAACACGAAGCTGCCACATGTCGCGATTGCACCTCACCTCCTTTGTGTTTTCTCCCGCGGATAAGGGGCTGTTTTTTTTTTTGAGAGGGAAATGTGGGGAAAGCCTGCCAAAAGTGCAGCTTTTGGTAGGCTTTCCACCCAAATCGCCTTTTTTAGAGGCGATTTGGGTGGAAAGCCTGCCAAAAGCTGTACTTTTGGCAGACTTTCAACACATTTCCCTCTCAAAAAAAAAGGAAATAAACAGCCTAAATTGAGACGATTTGGCTAAAAACCTGCCAAAAAGTGGCACTTTTGGCAGGCTTTCAAGAGAGTCTTTTCCCTCAAAAACAGGGAACCAAACAGCCCCTTAGCCCCAAGGAAAATGATAGGCTGGGCCCAAGTCAATAAAACAGCCCATAGTGTTTAGAAGTGAAAATAAGGTAAATTGAAAAGTGTCCGATTGTCACCATCCTTGGTATTTATTCCAATTTTAACTGAGATAAAGTCACATAAGACTATATATATAATCCTAAAAACCACTGTTATCATTAAAACAGCTATCGTGAAAACCAGAGTCATGATAGTGAAAATCTTAGGCGACTACATCTAAGCAATTGAAATTGGAATAGAGGGCAAGGATTGGGTAATTAGACACCCCAGTTATCAGCAAAATGGAGAGGATCTGAATTCAGAAGGAATAAAGATAAAAAATACATTACATAACTAACATCACTAAGAGACAGCCTATGGCAGATTAAGGAATTTGGTCATGGCATTCATAAATTTCCCAAAATTTCCATTAATACAAGCCCTACCTACATTCACAATCTTTTCAGCTTAACTCAATTTTATACATACACATACAGGAATAAAAATTCCTCTTTAACTTACCAGTGGCTTGCTACACACTGACTGCAAATCTTTTAGGCACAAATGCAACAGACTTCAACACGGACTCCGACCAATAAACCATAGCCCTGTGCAAAGCTATTGCTGATGCCGTCGCAAAAATAGTTAAACAACACCAACAGGCTCTGAGCGTCAATAGAGGTTGCCTTCTTACATCCTTCATTATCTTGTAAGAAATGACTCTCAATCGTCGATCTCTAAGTGCATTCTGTAACAAAAGTGCAGTGTCTTCTTGTCTGTCAATTTCAGAGAAGTGATGGTCACTGAGAGCTGATGCTTTTCCCCCTCCTAGGGTTCTGAGCATCCATTTGTAGATCACATCAGCAAGAGTATTGCTCATATGCTGACGGAATATAACTGCATCTTTTGAAACCACTGCTTGGGTTAAAGACCCTGAATCCTGCAATAGAGCATTTGACATTTGAGAATGTCAATCAACTAAAAAAGTCTATGTTCAAAAAGATGTAGATCAGCAAAGTTCAAGAACTAGGAAAGTTTTTCAAACAGATTTGTTTTTTTATTGCTAAAACGTGATAATGACTTATGTTTCTGGTGTTTATGTTCTTTACACTGGAAATGAAGCATGAAAAATAAAAGGCTAAATATCATACACCCTGCCCCCTTAAACTTTGGACATTATCGGAAAATCCCCCTTGACTATCAAAATATCAGAAAACCCCCCTTTAAGTTCAGAGGTTATCAGAAAACCCCCTTTAACTATGAGATTTTATTAGAAAACACCCCTAGGTGTTTTCTGATAAACTCTCAAAGTAAAAGGGGGTTTTCTGATAAAATCTTAAAAGTTAGAGGGGGTTTTGCGATAATCTCTATACTTAAGGGGATTTTCTGCTATTTTGAAAGTTAAGGTGGTTTTTCAATAATCGTCCAAAGTTTGGGGGTTTTCTGATATTTACTTAAATAAAAAGAAAATAGCATTAATTATAACATTATTAATACAGTTATTATCACATAAATAATGTACCCAAGAAGTTACAACTACATTATGTAGTTAACTAAGTTCTATGTTGGCAGTGGGCTAGCCTACCTACAGCAACCCTTCTTTATTCTGGTTCTGAAACATGCAGCGAAAGACAAATGATAAAGAACCAACAAGTTATGAACATTCACAAATAACATACAGGTTTATTCTTTCCTGCCCCTTACGGTAACACAAACAGTTAGAGAACTGAAACTTAGGATTAATTTTCATGACTACTATGTATTTCGGTGACATGAGCTGAAGGCACATTTCTTATACATTGTATGGAGATTCCAGTGGAGAGTAGCCAAGTCATCTGATTTGGGTTCCATTAGGAGTTTGGAATACTTATTCTACTTGACGAGTGATTTATGTGACCGCAAGATGGCCGTATTGTGTGCTATATAGTTCCTTGGTCTTGAAAAAGAGTGTTTATTTTTATCCTTGTAAGCAACCATCTTTGGC